TGAATAATTATTATTACTGCAGCTGCATGGCGCGCGGCGGTGGCGTAGAAACACTACGTCTTACGTACTTACCTATATATTTATAATATTATCATCATCGCAGCAGACGGTGAAACGAGCCAAAAATATTTTTTTTATCCGCAAAATAAACCGACGCAAACGTGTGTCGTAAATTATCGCAAAAAAAAAAGAAGAAAAAGAAACGTTGTTTACTTATTTTTCCTTTTACATTATTCTGTTGTATACGGTTTTCCGTGTTGACAATAATTAGTAAAAGTTTCACACTTACCACTAGATTTCTTTCACGTGAAAACGTGCAATACTCTTAAACAGACTACTTATTTCCGCTCACGCCAAAATACAAAATACGGTATTCTCCGGTTCGCCTGAAATAAAAAATTATACAAAACATATTATATGAGGACTACAATAATGTTACTATACATGTCTTTAAAATTGTATGTTATAATCAATAACATCTGCATAAAATACATAAAAAAAATAAAAATAATCAATGTGAAAACTGTATAGAATCGTTTTTTATTCTACAATTTTAGACTCTGAGCGTGGCGAAGAATGTATTGGTTTTACAAAGATGATTATTTATTTTTTTATACTGTGTACACAAATTCTACCAAAAATCTTGCTCCGATGTATACGATGTAGATTCTTTAATGAAAAAAATTTTTCTTATGGTGGTACTTTAAGGAGGCTGTTTTATGATTTTTCATGACAGGTTTCCCAATAGAAGAGAAAAAGACAGAAAAACGTAGGTAAGAAAAACGGGAAATTTACAATTTATTTAAAATAATGGTTTATTATTTTTTCAATTTTATTATTTGTTGTAATTCAATTAAAAATATTTGTGGAGACTTGAAATTTGGACAGCAAACTCAGACTTACTTTTTCTAGACGTAATAATATTTAAGCCATATTTGAGCTATATATAGACGTTTTAATTTTGCGAGTTTTGTCCGTAATTTTTATTCGGTAGGTACTCTGTGGTAAAATGTTTAGACATAAAAAAATGGTTGTAAATTTAATAACAGGTTCTTTAAAAGTCTTATCTTGTGATGTAAAAAAAAAAAAATTAAGTATAACGTACTGTTTTTTTTATACATGAATTTTAATATTAAATTTTGGAACAAATCTAATTTTTAAATTTTTTATTTGAACATTTGTATATAGCCAATTTAAGAACGATGGTGAATTCAAAATTGAGCGGACTGACAAAGTTTCGAAATTATAGATTTTTGGAGTTCTGATATAATACGGATAATATATTCTATGTTAAATAACTCTATAACAATGTCTACTTTAAAGTTTGTTTGTCGTATTCTAATAGTTATAGGTACTTGTTGTCATCCTAGAGATCGCAAGTTCAAATTCGAGTTTCAAAAAAAAATATTTGCATTTTTTTTTATTTTTACCTTTAAAGAGAAAAAACAAGACCCAAAACTATTGCTTGCTCGAACTATTTTAATAGAAAAATATCCTTCGATTTGTTATGCAAACTTTTCTACCAGAAATCTTGCTCCAAATTTTTAGTGTAGCACTTTTTCTAAACTTTTTTTAAATGGTAAGGTTTTTGACTATTTTAGGAAGGTCATTTTCCAAAAAATAGGAAAAACTGGACAAACACAGGTGAAAAACTGGAGAATGGGAAAATATTTAGAATATTAAACAAATGTTATTAAAGAAAATATATTTTATTACTTATTTAAATATTTTATTACAATATGACATATATATATATATATATATATATTGTCGAAAAAGCAACACTTTTAACTGAACTTCACTCAGAATCGTTTTTTTGTTAGCAATGGTTTATCATTGTTTACAGATACAAATATTAATTTGTATCTGATATCTGTAATTTGTATCTGTATACAAATTAATATTTGTATCTATAATGTCCCCTCTATATTCTACATTCCTAACTTGTCATTAACAGCAGTGGCTGCACAAATCGTGCGAAGTATGTCCATTTTTTATTCAAATTAAACTATTGACAATGATTTGCTTCGGTTATTTCATATTGCTCTTATTTAGTTCATCATTATGTTTGGGGATGGAAGCACTATAACAACATATTTTTTGTTTTTTTAATTTATAACCGTTGTAAAATAGATATTGAGCGCTCATTTGTATAGTAATTAACAAAGATTGTTAGTTATAATAATAATTATTGAAGTATGAGAAGATCCTAATAAAGTATGTATCTGTAAAGTTAACTCAGGTGCAAATAATACAGGTAATAATTAAAAAAACAAAAACAAAAAAATAGTTTAATAATCAAAGCAATTAGACAGCTATGTAAAAAATTACTTACATGTGTAGCGTAAAGCTTGATCCACATTATGCTACAGTATAAAATAAGAGTATAGACACCACGAAAACGCAGAGTGAATTTCGATAGAAACATTAGAGACTTGTGTGAAAGTGTAACACGGCAGCAAAATAGAACGATAATAGATAAGTATGTTCACATGGTGATAGTCAATATCAATTATGCTGTACACATGAGAGCGTGATAGTTGTTTTGACGATAATTTAACGGTTACTATTGTCCTGTTCATATCTGCAGTTTAAGCACGCGATGAGAATATAGTTTATGATAAAGCTTAGGTACTATTGTGGTTACGGATTTCTCAACAATCGCGATATTGACCATCATTAACCAAGTTTATGGCTAATTTACATATCTAATTAACTGCACTAATTGTTTGTTAATAATATAATGTCATAACTCATATAATTATATCATGGCGTTAAGATGTAAAAAACAATTTTTCGTGTCTTAAATTACGTGTAAAACAACAAAATATCGCCTCTGACGTGCCGTTTATGTAGGTGTAGTAATAAATAAAGTGGTTTATTTTATTTTTTATTTTTTTTATACGGTATTCTTTTTAAACAATCGTTTATTTTATACGGATAGTTTTCGAAACGTTTCCAATCGAATAACATCCGAATGATTCCGATTCATAATAAATTATGGGTAGGAAATAGCTGTAGCGGAGTGAAATTCCAATTTATTGTTGTCGGTATATACAATGTATAGGTACCGGTGCAATCTTCGCTGCACGCCTATATAAGCGAAATATCAGATCGGAATGTTTTATTGTCGTGGTCTACGGAGATTTCCTGCACTTCAACGGCCGATATCGCGTTTGAACACCGAGTATGCGATTGTAAACTCGTCACCGAACCGCAAGAAAATATAACGTTCAAAAGGTTAACGGACAAACGATTTGTCGTGTTTTGTATGCACGTGGTGCAGAGAAAGATTTTAATAACTGGGACGGACAAAGACTCTTCGCGAGTGGGGGTTGCAATTTCGTTTTGAAGTATTCCGAAAAAGTCTATAAATCATTTCCTCAAGACCGTATCTGAAATATTTGAAAATAAAATATTAATAGTGTTTGAAGTAAAAATTACAGGTGTATTGAAGGTTGTTAAAAGAAAAAATTTGTTTTCTTCCCTGAAAAATCCCTCCTATCTTAGATTTGTTCACTGATTTACAATCAAAACGCCCCTGACTCTGCAGCCATAGTCCTTTTCGATTAAGAGGCGTAAAACGCGTGACGGACTCGAACGAAATAGAACGGAAACTGAGTTTCATATTTATCATACCGTAAGGTCGTCTTGGCCAGAGCGGTATGTGTATGCAGAACCCTTCTAGGTTTTTCAGTGATTAGGTTCAAGTATACACACAAGTCACTGACATCTTCGTCGCATTATCAGGTTTTGGCCAAAAAGTAAGTTGTGTTAATCAAAATTATTATTATTAATTCTGTTACGTTTTGTTTGGGCTGAATTCAAAGAGGTTCTATATAATTACGAAAACGGGAAGAGAGATGCTAAAGATAGACAGTGTGAATTTTAGATCACACGGAAGTAACGAAAATACCATCGAACCAAGGTAGAACGCTTTTAAGTTTGAGATTAGTAATTTTCCGAGTATTACATGGTTTTATAAGCGTATACATTGATATGAGTTTCAGAGAGTAAGAATTAAGAGTGGAACAGGATCGGATCAAAATCAAAGAACTTATAAGTGAAAAAGTAGAAAATGTAATGCGCTTCTATGTTAATTATTTAAATCACCATATTTGACATAGCAATTGCAAAATAATTTATAAAATAACAAGCCATCTACGGGAGTGCTTGAATTTCCAAATTCATCTTATATCAAATTAAAATCCTTAGTATCTTTTGTAAATATCGTCGCGCATGTCATTCCAATAAAATATGCCAGAAATACAACCGGATTCCAATTAAAGTAATTTAATTAATAATTAAATTATTCAATTTGTCTGACAAAAATATGTTTCGCAGTTGATGTCACTAATTTGAAACTATGTACTCGGATATATATATATATATATATATATATATATATGTATTTATTGCCCGGGGGAAAAAAATCCATTTACAAAGATTGGGTACGGCGAAAACAAAATAATAAGTATAAATATAAAAATACGTATGCATAGAAGTATACTTTCGTAAAATTGAAGTTATGTAAACATAATGTAAAATTGAAAAATAGATTATTATTTTATATTTTTTTACTTGTAATTGTATGAGTACATTTTTTTTTTCTAGGCAACCCCCTCAAATGGATATAAAAATTTTCATCTTAACATAATAAATCATTAAAAAAAAAAAAAAAAAAAAAAAAATGTGTACGGTATCGCGTAGAATTTAGTAAATAAATTATTGTTCAAAAAGCATTAATTATGCAATAGAAAATTTAAAAAGGAAATAAACAACGGCAGAATAAATTCTATTTTCTCGACGAAAAACTACAGTCAACAATATTATAATTAATAATTATAATATTACATTGAAACGCAATTAGCCAACGACATTGAAAAAAATCAATTGACAGGTTTGACGGTTAAAATGATAATGATTTCCACAAATGTATGCACACGTATTTATGCACATAGCAATGAGTTATATACATATCGGTTATCAAATGTATTTGACTGATATAAGCGGTTGTTCACGACTCGTGACGTTAGTTGAACTCAGGCATATGATAAAATCGTTATTTCGACACGAATTTTAAAATTTAAAGTTTGTAATAACGTTTTTTTAGGGCGTTTAGGTGGCAGATTTAAATTGATATTCTCGAACACCGCACATTTGCGTTAAGTGAGATAATATATTGGAACGCATAGCGACGATGGTTTTAAAAATATCACTCGTGTTATTATGTTCCGTGAGTATAAATCATATCTACTGCTAGTAACTCGGTAAATATTCGCCGCTTGGGTAAATACCGGTTATTTACCCGGTAAATTGGGTTAATGTTTAACGCGATACTATGTGTATTTTTTTTTTTTTAAACTTGTTGGGTTTTTTAATCTTTTTTTACTTTACACAAGTCATAAATTTAATTTATTCTTCATAAATTAATAGAAATATTATATATTTACTAAAATTGTATGAGAGGGGAGGGCTAATACTCAAAATATTTACTTAACCTTTTATTCAAGGCACATCACCGACTACCGCACTGTTTATAAGGTTGTAATATTATTATTATTGTTGTTTTTTTTTTTTGTTTTAGATATTTGTCGAAATTGCCACGATTGAATATCCTCACGATTTCGCTCCGAAATTATCGTCGGGCGAGCACGACATAAAATTCCAATTTATCGTCGTTGGCGGTGGCAGCGCCGGTGCGGTAGTTGCGACCCGTCTCAGCGAAATAACAGATTGGAACGTTCTACTTTTAGAGGCGGGTTCCGATCCACCGGCTACGACAGAAATACCGCTAAAATGGAGTTTGGCCATGCACACGGAATACGATTGGGAATTTTTCACAGAGACCCAAGAAAAAGTCTTCAAAGGGTTAAAAGACGAACGGAGTTACATACCTCGGGGATGCATGCTGGGCGGTTCTTCGTCCATGAACGTAATGTTATACTTGCGTGGAACTAAGTTCGATTACGATAAATGGGAGAGCATGGGATGCCCCGGTTGGGGTTTCGAAGAGAATTTGGAGTATTTCAAAAAGAACGAAAATTTCACCGATGACACTAGGTTCGATCCACAAGTCCATGGAAACAGCGGGCCCATCTCGGTCAGTCCGTATGTAGCCCCTGATCCTGCCATAGGTACGATAGGTGAAGCGGCAGATTTAATGGGCCTAAAGAATGTGAAGGACTTGAACAAACTGGGGCGGACGACGGGGTACGCGATGTCCGACAGTACGACTAAGAACGGTCTGAGGTGCAGTACATTGAAGGGGTATTTGATACCCAATAGCGAACGGCCGAACTTATTTGTGGCGAAAAAGACAAGAGTTACTAAGGTGTTAATCGAAAACAAAAAAGCGTACGGCGTAGAGTTTGTGACGGCAACTGGCGAGTTCAAGACCGTCAACTGTACTAAGGAAGTGATAGTCTCGGCCGGGGTCATGATGAGTCCTCAACTTCTCATGTTGTCCGGTATCGGGCCGGCGCAACATTTAAACGACATGCAAATCGATTTAGTCGCCGACCTGCCCGTCGGTCTCAACTACCAAGATCACATTGCCTTCTACGGAATGGTGTTGACTGACCGCAAAAACAGACCTAAAGAAGATATAGCCAAAGAGAGTCAACAACTCAGAAAAGAAACGATGCAATTGATTCCCAAAGGTATAAGCACGATGGGATTAACCGGTCTTGTAAGTTTCGTTGATACCACGGGAGACCAGCAACCCGACATCGAGATAATGAAAATCAGGTTTTCGTATAACACGACCAAGCAGTTGGACATTTTCCGGAGAATGTTTAGTTTTTCAGACGACATGGCGAACATATATAACGAGTTGGGCATGCTCAGCGACATTATACTCATGATACCAATCAGCAATCATATTGTAAACACTGGTCACGTAGAGCTCGCGTCCAAAGATCCGTTGGTAAAACCGAAAATATACGCTAATTTTTTAACGGACCAGGCCGAATACGATGTGCTGATCGAAGGCATAAAGTTCGTGGTGGACTTGTGCAAGAAGAAACCGATGGTCGACGCGGGTTACGAGTTGGCGGAGATTAAGTTTCCGGGGTGTCCGGACATCGAATTCGATAGCAAAGAATATTGGACGTGCGCGATCGATCACGTCGCGTCTTCGATATTTCACTCGGTGGGCACGAACCGGATGGGCGCGGCCGACGACAAGACCGCGGTGGTCGATATTGATTTGAAAGTGAAGGGCGTCGAAAATCTCCGGGTGATCGACTCATCCGTGATGCCACATTTAGTGTCGTGTAACACCAACGCGGCTACCATGATGATCGCGGAAAAAGCCTCGGACAAAATCAAAACGCAATACGGCAAATGCGGTACGGCCGACAGCGATGCGAAATCCTCGGCCGACCAAGTATAGTCGGTTGGGAGGCCGGCACATATTGTTTATAAACGCTGTTAGGTTAGGCAGTTTATTAATTGATCGTATTCTCCCACCAGTGTATAATGATTAGTGTCTAATACGGTAACGATTACTGCGGGTACTACCCGTCGTACGTTTCGATTATTTTTAAGTTAAAGTATCTGTTTGTAGGTGCGTAATATTATATTTTAACGGCCAAAGTGTATTAAGTGCCATTAAGTAAGGCGATATAATATATATATATATATATATATATATATAACGGTTTTAATTCAATCGAATCTTAAATTGTCAAAACAAAATCGTTTCATTATACATTCGAATAATATACGTTAGGTGTAAGCTTTGAACGAATCACGAATTAAGATTGTGCGTGACACGAAGCGTAGCGTCATGTCGGTGCTTTAGCGTCATCTCACTAGTAGTGATTTAAAACAGTTGCGATGTAAAAACGAACTAAAACCTTGAGTACCTAATTATAATTATCTTAAGTACGCTGTGCGCTATCGCGATTTGATTTTAGGATATCATTATTCGTGCGTACCGCACATACACGCGTGGGTAACGGCACACGCTCAAATCGGGTCCCGATAGAGACGTCCGGAAAAAGCGAAATCCAATAATCAATCGAATAACGTTTTTTGATGTTATAATACGTGTAGTATATTTCCCATTATTACACGAATACCTGTAGTCGTTACTCGTTGCCCGCTGCATTTAGTAATCCACCAATAACCGTAGAGTATAAGTATAAACTCGCGTCTGTATCTATTTAATATCATTGATTGTATATAAATTAGTTACACTGGCATCCGTTGGGGGTGGCGAGAGGAGGACACGCTACCCCCCCCCGAGAAAATAATAAAGTATCCAAAAAATAATTATATATGCTTTGAATCTATCAAAATAAATTCCATTATATTCTTTATATTGATAATGATAACTATAGACTTTTGCTAATCACTAAGCTAATATTTACGTAATTGCATACCCTTTCTTTTTCATTCCTTTTCAAGAAATATCAACCTAGTGTCCCCAAATATATGCGTATAATAGGTTTTTACATTTAGATTCATTTTGTCCTATTGTACCTTACATAATCATCATAGAAAATAGAAATTGTTTTTAAAATAATCTAGGGACCAATTTGAAAGTACCTTTTGTAACAATCCGGGAACCAATTAGGACGTTTCGGGATAAATTCAGATAAACCGAAAATATTATACTACATTGCATTATCTAAATAGTTCACAACACTAGGTGCGTGTTAGGTGTCTTGCCGTAACGACACAATGTTCGTGATTCGCTGATATGACGCACGTTTCGTATCCTGCGTATTATCTTAATTCAAACGGATTACACATCATAATAGTATTTGTATTGAATTCGAACGACAGAAAAAAAAAGCGTTTGGTAAACCGACATTTTAGCTCAATGCGTACTCGTAAAATAAATAGTAAAACGTAGTGAATTAAAATATTATTAAATGTTTTTTTTTTTTTATTTTGTCAGTGTATGTATTTATTTTGTAAAAATAATTTTTTTATCTGTGTTTTAAGTGTAATGGTTTTTTTTAAGTTTCGATACAGTATTGTATGTCAATCCCGAGAGTGTTCTACTACAGTGTAAAGAATGAACAAATATCGGGAAATTTTTGTTTATCAACGACGGTCATTTTGAAAATTGTGATCGTGAAACAAACGACAAAAATGCTTGAATCGCTCGTACTTTGACAGCATTTAAATACACGATAATAGTTTTTATTGGTTTTCATCATCCGTTTAATCGTTATCGGGTGCACCTTTAACCGTTTTTACTGTTATCAGTCGCAGTTTTCAAACGCAGTTCGAAGATTTAGTCTAACTCTCTGACCGGGAATTTCCCCTACCGTATTGAAGAGTCTATTTAGTGTGCAATACAACTAATAGTGTACCTTTAATAGAACATGTGGTACACCCAACGTGTAAAACACGAAAACTAATGTGTGCAAATTATAAAGAGTGTAACAACCAAACATTAATAACCTTGGAAACAATGTGGTTTTGCTGATAATACAAATCTAATTAATTGAATACGATAAACTTTGATGGCTTTACTGATTTCGAAAATAAATAAAATTCAATAAATGTACTTTTATTTTATGTTAAACTTCAAAATGAAAACATGTGACAATAATAAAGCAAACAAAAACGTTTACGTTAATCTTATTTACTGTTTAACTAAGTTTAAAAACAATGTTACCTCAAGTAAAAAATTAGGGAATATATTAGATTTAGGGGCCAAGAATGGGTGTGGGGACGAAGCAACCACAGGTTGGCTTTCATAGAAAAAAAAAATATATGTATTACACCAGTACGAAAAGTTACAAAATAAACCACTATAATAGTATCATTATTCATAGATCTACATTCGGTATGATTATACGCCTTTATTTTGTTATCAACCGGAAACCGAAATTTTATATCTGCTTAACGGTAAGTACGAAAAATCGATACAGGAAATATGTGAAGTCAAACTCAAGTGTTTAGGAGTGAGAATTAAAAAGTATTTTTTAGATGATAAAAAATTGTTCAAACGACGTGTGTTCCGAACATTTCTTTCGGAAAGTACTTCAAAAAGCAGACATCCACGTGAAAACATTTGTATTGAAATACATTTATAATTTCAGAACATTGCCGAAACGTACAAAGTCATTTGAAGATAAGAGTGCGCGTCGCAACTGACGTTACGCGGAGTAAATCACGGTAGAACTCGTTGAGTATTTCAACGCAAATAAACTTGGGCCGTAGTTTAGTATCAATTTTACTGTAATATCAAAAAACCTTGTATTTGAATAATAAAATGTAAAGCAGGAATACGAACATAAGCTAGTGGACCGAACGGAACATTTTCAGGAAAATTAGCCCGATTCAAATGTCTGCATCCTTATTGAAAAACTGAAATCACGACCCTGAATAGCATGCAAACAGCCACCGCGATACAATTTAAATAAAACGAAAAATACAAATTTCACCAAACGCAATTTTCAGTGTACGCTCGTTGCAGGTATACGGCCGGACCTGCCGGATTTTTAAACATTTCGGATTTCTGTACAAGTTTTGCTCGCGCTATAATATTATTGCTTAACTTTGGATTCGTTCGCGTTATTTTCGGCCGATTTTCCGGTCGCCTTGGTTACCCATGTATGGACAAAAATGGAAAGACCGGGAGAGAAACACACACGCCGTTTTGACGATGTTATTTAATTTGGTTGTCACGGCCCACGGGAAATTTACGTCAGGAGTAATTACTATTATTATTTCAACCGAATTCGGGACACACGTATACAAAAGTATGATCTGGGAAAAAAATGCCATGACGGGTGTTGTAACACACCCTTATCACTCGCTATGTAATAATGGGACGGGGAGACATGTAAAGTCGAATTTATTGATTTCCGGGGGGTTATTTTTTTTTTCGCAACTTAACCTAACCCGGAAAACGGCGAGCGATGACAGCTCGTATTTTGTAATATATTTAAAAAAAAAATGATTCGTTTTATTTTACTTTTTTTTTATTTTTAAATTCGAAACGCAATCGTTAACATTATTCGTTTTAATGACTTGTAAATGATACTGTACGTGTGAAAACGAAATTATCCTTACAAAAGGCTGATACCGCTAATGGGTGTGCAGTTGTTTTACGAGGAATTTTGGAAGGGAGGATTTATAAAGGGATTTAATTTATATCTGAATACAATGATAAACCGTTGTTAACGAAAACCGATTCTGAGTAGAGGATAAATTGTCGTATTTGTTTTTTTGTTGTCTAGGTAACCCAGAAATTGACAAATATCACAAAAATCGCCTGTCTTACCTATTTATTAAGAAAATTTGCCAGGAAAATAAAAAACGATCTTCTCAACGAATCAACTAGATAAAAAAAAAATGATATGAGAAAGTTGTATGCATACATTTTCTATTGAAATAAAATGTATAAAATCATTGCTTTAGACACAACAATAAAAAAAAAAAAAAATACAGACATACTTAAAAACGATTCTGAGAAATAATACATATTTTAAAAAGCCATAATATTTATGAATTTCGTAAAAATTCTGCTTTAAGCTGTTTTTTTTTATTTTAGCCATAAAGTTCGACTTAAAATGAACCTCTTGTAAAATTATCAAGTATTTATATTAAGTCTAAAAATTGTTTTCACAGAATATACCTACCGAATAAAAATTATGTACAAATTAAAATGTTTGTAAATAGCTGTAAAATGGCTTAAAGGTTTTGAACATTTTATTACGTCTAGAAAAGACAAATATAAGTTTTAAATTTAAATTTCAAGTCTCTACAAATATTTTCAACTAAATCACAATAAAAATAGTTTTCCTAGGATAATGGGGACGGGTGCAGCCACTGTTGTTAGTGAAAAGTTAGAAAGGTAGGATATAAACGGGAAATTAATTCATATCTGTAAGCGATTCTGAGCGGGTTCGGTTGATGGTGATACTTTTTCAACAATATATAATAATTTATGTGTCATATTATGGTAAAATAATTAAGTAGGCATTATATATTTTCTTAAATAATATATGTTTAATATTATATCTAATTTTCCCGTTTTCTTAAGTTTTTCCCGATTTCTCACGTTTGCTGGGAAAACTCTTGGAAAAATCTAAAAAAACTACCTCTTTAAGGTACCTTTCAATTCAGAGAAAGTGCTAACATTGTAAATTCGGAGCAAAATTGATGGTAGAAAAGTTGTCTGCATAAAAAAATGGAAAAATGGCATTTTATAAAAAATGTTCACAAAAAAAAAAAAAAAAAAAAAAAAAAATAAAAAAAATAATTAACGTTATTGTATAACCTCGACAAGTTCCTCGTTCCGCTCGGAATCCGAAACGGGGTCGGGGCTTGCGGGTATGGACGGACCGTCGACGGGCCGCGGCTGTCGAGAAGCGATTTTCATCGTGTCACGCAATTGACAGTGGAAAAACAAAGCGAAAAAAAAAATAAATAACAATAATAATTCGATAATTTACACGCGTAACGGGGAAAAACAACGCGACGTTACGTCACAATGTTTGTGTTGTCAGACGTTGAGCGATATTGTCGTGACACGTAACGTTCGGGCGCCTGCCGTTAATCAAACATCGCCGACGTTTCCGATACCGTTAAATAGGCGAACGCAACACAACCGCTGTTAAGGACGGGAACGACACTTCGTCCCGCGCGCACACACTGCGTTCTGTCCCCCGACAGAGAAGAGTTTCATTTTCACGCGAAACACCGTGTGTGCGTTGCCGTTCGCGCGTTTTCAAAGTACAACCAGCCAGCGTCGTTTCGAAGATATTCTGACGCGATGACGCACCCGAAGATATTTCTCGCTTTGAGTTTCGTAAGTGGTCGACGCGTCGTCACGTCGCGTCAACGGTTTTTTTTTTTTTTTTTACACGTTTATGCTTCTCGTACACGACTTTTTTCCAACGGCAATCTCGGCCCGACCGCCGAGCGGGGAGGTGCGGCCATTTTGTCTAGTTGACGAAACACGGAGAGAGGTCCGGTTCGTTTCACCGGGTTTTTCTCGTGCCGATCAATCGTGTTCGTATTTTATACACGGGGGAAAAAGCTGTAAGGCGAATTTACGCAATAACCGGTTACGGATGTTTTTCGATTTTTTTTTTTTTATTATTATGATTATTGTAAAGGAAATGTCTAGACGCGGTAAAAGTTTTATTTAAACATTCCGGCGATCTTTTATCAGCTATGATTCGCGAGCGTTTTGAATTTTCGATTTCCGGTCGAGTTTTTTGATCGGCCGAAGCTGGAACGCTCGCAAATTTGACGCGAAGTCTGTTTTGAATTTTACCCTGCAGTCGCCGTAAAAAAACGAAAAAAAAAAAAATTCGAATTTCGTATAATACAACTTTGCGTTTTCGTGTTTGTTTTAGGTACTTCTGGAGACGTTCGCGATCCAATATCCGTACGATTTCGCACCACAACTCCATTCCGGTACGTATTCGACGAAATTCGATTTTATCGTCGTGGGCGCCGGCAGCGCGGGTGCCATAGTCGCCACTCGTCTGAGCGAAATACCGGAATGGAACGTTTTGCTCCTGGAAGCGGGCGGCGATCCGCCAGACACGTCAGTCGTTCCGCTCACGTGGACGTCGATTTTAAAAACCGAATACGACTGGGAGTTCGTTAGCGAACCGCAACCGCACATGTTCAAAGGGCTTAAAGACGGCCGTTCGCAAATGCCCATGGGTCGCATGTTGGGCGGCACGTCGTCCATGAACACCATGCTGTACATACGCGGCACCGAGTTCGACTACAACAACTGGGCGACGATGGGATGTTCGGGTTGGGATTTCGATTCCGTTTTGCCGTATTTCCGGAAACTGGAGACATTCGCGGACGCGGCGCGATACGACCCCCGTTATCACGGCGATTCCGGGCCGATGACCATTAGCCAATATCAAGTGCCCGACCCTGCGTTGCCCGTGATAGCCCGGGCCGACGAGGCAATGGGCGTGACCAACGTGACGGATTTAAACCGCGCGGGACGGACGGTCGGGTACGCGGTCGCGGACAGCACGACCCGGGACGGTCAAAGATGCAGCACTCTGGCGGCGTACCTCATACCGAACAGCGGCCGGCCGAACCTGTTCGTCGCGAAAAACACCACGGTCACCCGGGTGTTGATAGGCGACGATTTACGGGCTTACGGCGTCGAAATTCTCACGTCGTCCGGCCAGCTCCGGAACGTCGTTTGCCAGTCGGAAGTGATTGTCTCGGCCGGCCCCGTAAAAAGCGCCCAGCTTCTCATGCTCTCCGGTATAGGACCGGCCAGTCATCTGATGCAAACGGACATCGCGCCGGTCGTCGACTTGCCCGTCGGCTACAACCTGCTGAACCACGTCTCTTATTTCGGACTGGTGCTCAGCGACCGCAAGTACAGGGACGCGGCCGACATAGACAAGGACGACCAGACTCTGATCGCGGATACGTACGGTCTGATCACCAAAGGATTGCCGACCATCGGATTGACCGGTCTGATCAGTTTTTTCGACACGACGCACACGTTCGCGAATCCCGACGTGGAAATGGTGCAGATCAGGTACGAGTGTAACACGACGGCGAAGAAGGGCACGTTCCAAAGGAACTTTGGTTTTTCCGACGAGATGGCAGCCATGTACGACGAATTGAATAGTCACAGCGACTTGCTGGTCATGTTGCCGATCAGCTTGGTCAACAATCCCGGCCGTGTGGAGCTCACGTCCAACAATCCGTTGGCTAAACCGAAAATATTCACAAACTATTTGACCACCGAAGTGGAATACGACGCGCTTATCAAGGCCATCGAACTGACGGTCGAGCTGTGTACCACGCAACCAATGATCGACGCCGGATTCGCTATAGAAAAGATCGTGTTCCCCGATTGCCCGGACCTCTCTTGGGGCACCCCGGAGTACTGGAGGTGCGGTATCCAATATGTGGCCAACAATCTGTACCATACGGCTGGCACTAACCGGATGGGCCCGGCGTACGACCCGAACACGGTGGTCACCACCGATTTAAGGGTAAAGGGCGTCAATGGACTCAGGGTGATTGATTCCTCCGTGATGCCGTCCTTGGTGGCCTGCTCCAACGCCGCCACCATGGTGATCGCGGAAAAAGGTTCGGACATGATCAAAATGGATCACGGAAAAATCGACGGAGTAACGGAATTATTTTAACAATTAGTCAGCGCGAGTCCCACAATGTACGATAATTTATTGTAATTAGTTGGTTGAATAATATAATAATTGTCAATTTACACGAATTCGTTAAAAACAATAACTATACACACCGTGTATACAATACCGTGAAAAATCTATGTTCTTGAATCAGGCGATTGAAGTGTTATTCGTTCCGATACTCGAAAAATAGCTCCGCTACCGAAATAATTAATTTCACTCAAAACACGGGTAAAGGATTTATTTATTTATTTCCCCCCCCCCGACAAAATGTCGTTTAGTGCCTATCAAGAACTTAATGAACAATTTTCAATATACGGCTGTCCGGACGTCGGCGCACAACTCGCCCGTCCTTGTTATCGAGGTCCGAGGGATATTTTAATTAAAACGGCCATTTAGCCATTTAACAGGAGGGGGGAGAAAAGAGAATAAGGCGTTTGTGCGACCGTCGATAGTGACGGTCCGCAGAGCGAAAATTGGAGGTGTTTCCATTTCTAAAATGTTAATATTATAATGTGATAACGGTTCTCAGCAGCTGTACTAACATTTACCGGGTTACATCGTATCGATTACTGTACAAAACTGTTCGTGTCAATCAAAAAAAAAAAAAATAATAAAATAAAATAAAAACAGGAAAATGGTGTAACAAATAAGTTTTTTTTTTTTTTTTGGATGTCATATTTTCACGGCCAAATTAAAAAAAAAAAACACAACCCTACGTGATGGATTGACAGGTATATAATTACAGTTTGTTTTTAACGGTAAGAGCACAGAAAATGATTCATCTTTCTCGAAAAACAATTGTAGATAATGTATAAAATATTATTATCTCAGTAAACTCAGTAATGTAGTTTTGGCGAGTTCAAAAATTACTGTCGTCGTTCCAATCAACTGTCATGTTAATTTTTTTTTATTCCGAAACAATTAAACGTAGTTTGTTTGTCAATGTTCTGTTTTCGTAGTATGCGACAAAACGTATTGCGTTAAAATCAATATAATAATCGAAAAACGTTTCGAAAAAAATTAAATATTGTTTACTCGAGCAACGACAGTAAGTATATATGTACAAATTTTGTGTACTCGTTAAGCGTATTCACTCCATTTCTACAATTAAATTTGCAGTTATTAAAATACTAATTTTTGGAATTTTTAAGTGTGGTTCAAGTCGATGTTTTCGAATATTTAGATTTTTTACAACACTTAAAGAGTGTCCTGCGGCGATATCAGCTTTGGTTTTTCAAACGAGAACCTACATTAAAAATTACATAAATAGAATCCGTTGACGAGATATTCCACAATTAAGTGTAGACAGGAAGAGAGTAGTGAAGCACTATTAAAACATCGCACACGTCTAGACGCCAGACAAACGATAAACCATTACTACTTTCCCCCTGCCTAAACTAAAACTTGGAATTTCTCGTGAACGAGTTGACGGAAATCAAAAATTTTAACGTCAACATTTATTTAAACTAATACTGCATCTATTTTGTGTAATTTTTAATGTAGGTCCTCGTTTGAAAAACCAAAGTTGATATCATCGCAGGATAATCCCAAAATGTTGTGAAAAATCTATGTATTCGAAAATATGCTATTCAACATTTAAAAAAAAAAAAAATGGATAAATTTGATTTGTTCCACATAATGTTTACTCAAACAATTTTCATCAAAATTTAGTTTTAAAATTCCCTTATAGAAAAAAAATTCAATATTAAATTTATAGTAGAATTTGTGTACGCAGTATATATATATATATATATATAAAAAAAAAATCTACATTATAGTAAAACCAATACATTTTTCGTTACACTCAGAATCTAAAAAAGGCCGTAATATTTTACTAATACATGATGTATAATTTCCATTTTTCCTCTATTTTCCAATTTAAGAATAGAACTCCTGGGAAAATTAATAAATGACCTCCCTAAAGTACGTTTCTAGTCCGATTCCTTTACAGAAAAAGTGCTTGATTGATAAATGCCCAGTTAACTATATTTACAAATAAAGAATTTTGATTTATTTAGAACAATTTGTCGTTCGTAACACGTCATTGTTTTTGGATTTTAGAGGTATTGTAGTCAGTCGTTGTCTAAGGGGTAAGATTTAGGTGCAATTCAGATGGCAGTTACGCCCGGGTCATGTCAATGTGTTAACGACAATTAGTGCGTGTACGTAACACAACGTAGTGTCACACGATACACACCCACTGGACTCTACTCGGAATATTAATTATTCTTCTGATTATCAGGGCTGCTTGTAAAATACTTAAAAATGGAAATATGTATATAACATATTATAAGAAAAACAAACTTACCTTCACGGTGGTCTATGCGAAATCTAACGAAAACTTCGAATCACGAAGACAATTCTCGACGATCTCGGGAATTTTTGGTTATTCGTCTGAAATCAAAAATAAAGAAATAAATATAATATTATTACGATTTTTATTTTGAATTAAAAAGCATCAAAAAAGGTTCCAGAGAAAACGATGTATAATAAATTAAGATTTTACTAGGACGTCCGCGTTTTTTGAGCGGCAGTAGGGAATACAAATGTAAAAGTCTAGTATTTCAACAATATTTTTGTAATTTTAATAATAGTTATCAAAGCGGTAGGTGATTTTTGAAATCCGAAATCCGACATTTTTTTTAAGCCATTATAATTGATCATTTTTTTTTTCGTATTTATAATACGTGAGAAGGTTTATAAAACATCGGAGGAAATCAAAGTGAAGCACGTACACACCCGGATTGACTTGAAAAACTCCCCGAAACGATTCGAGTAAAAAAAAGGGGTTGACTACCTTTATTGAGGGAAAAATTCGTATACAGACGTTACTGTATTCTTGTCTTTGCACTCAATTCAGTATTGTATGTTTTTTAGGTTCTGAGTAAATCGAAGAAGCTACGTATTATAGTTAGGTGAGTGTGTGTTTGTTCTGACTTTTTCACGCTATACCTTGAACGGCATTAAACAAAAGTTCTAATTTTTTCGTATAGCATCATGGAACGGTGGGGTATTTAAAGCTTCGTCTTAGGGGGAGGACGATATTAAAGAAAGTCAACCTCCCCCTTAAACAAAATTTTGATGTTTGATGGTACAGAACACATTTTTATTCACAAAGCAATTACAGATGCATCAAGATAATAAAAGTAGCACATTATATGATTGATTTAAGGATATAGATATTAAAGAAACGTTAAGTCAAAAAATGGATGCTAGTAAAGAATTAACCAAAAGGAAAAAGGAGAGAATTTAACTATTATTACCAAAAACTTAATCGAGGGAAAAAAATCTTTTATTCGTTGGTTAAATTAAGAAATGCTTACATTAGTTCAACAAACATAACATTTGATTTGCAAATTTATTTTGGGAAGGAGGGCGATTGTTCAGATCACAGAATCCTATCCTCAAATGCGCCACTGTCGTGGAACATGCGGAATTTCCGGCCGATGGTTCTTTATCCGAAACGTTTATTGAAATTTTCAGCAATTCACACCCTAGGCCATTTGTTTATTTTTTTGTCGATTAATGGGTTTCCTTGACAAAAACGGTTGTGGGGGGGGGAGTGGTGGTGAAATACGACTAATATAGCACCGTTCAGAATTTGTTTTCGTTTACAATAATAGTTGCAACAGTGCAACCCGCGATATGCAGCAAAAGCTTTTTTTTTTTTTTTTTTTATAAACGTTATTTTATTTTATTCATAGAAAAACCATATAATGCTCATATATGCGATTTTCCTTCATACTGTATTAATATAATTTTATACAGAACCGAACAAACGTACATCCCTACGTCATACCCACCGCCGCTGTCATAAACAATAATTTACTAATGGAACACCGTCAACTTACGGGGGCATAAGTTTTTATTTTTTATTTATTCTTTAAACCCCACATATATATATAGTATTATATTTTACGATTTTTTTCCGCCGATCTTGTGTATAACACCCGTGATAATAATACGGTTGTAAAAAACTTTCGCGGTATCAAAGACCCTAAACATGTCAATAACAACGCGCGTATAATAATATTATTTTCAAACTAAAAAAAAAAAAACTTTTAAACTATACGTACCCGAGGAGACGCTGAGGAACGAAAATATTACATAGTAATGTATTATAAAATATTATTATTTCACGCAACGGAAATTTATAAACACGAGTTCCGGACCTATAGAATTGATTCGGGTCATCGAAAAGCCCAACGAACGAATGTCGACAACCCGACGCGGGGGCAAACACAGCAGACTTTGATCCGTTTTCAATAGGATTCCGAAAACGAAAAAGAACAATAAATTATTGTTTTCCGTTTTACTTCTTCTTTTCAAATTTTTAACGATAAGTTTAAACCCATTATGTTCCCGTCCGTCCGTAGTTACCATCGCGTAGTTACGGTTGTCGATTCGATCGACAAAGAGATAATATATTATATTATTCACAACAATGTTATACATAATTTTAATGAAGATTCGTCAAATTATAATCATAATTTATTTAAGTGTGAGGGGACGGGTGATGCAACTGTTTTAGGTAAACTAATGTAATATTGAACCTATTTTTCCGGTTTACCCATGTTTTTTCACGTTTTTTCTATTTATCGGGAAAACTCTTGGGAAAATCAAAAAATGATCTTCATAAAGTACCACCCCGGTCAGATTTGCTTCTAAAAAAAATAAATATCTTCTTAAATCGAAGTGTAATTTCTGGTAGAAAAGATGTTCAAGAATAAAAAAAAAAAACAAACATCATTGTAAAACCAATTCGGTTCACTCAAAATCTAAAATATAATGTAATGCTCGACGAATTTTGAAAATGTCCCGTTAACTATATATTTTACAAATTAAGATTTTTAGCTTATTTAGATATCTATGCGTAAGTTAAACAATACACTAGATAACAAAATTAATTCAAAATTGTATATATAGAACTAAAGTTTATTGCTTAAAACACGTTCAGAAACCAATAACTTAGTGTACTCGTAGAGTCGGCTTTCCAACCTTCATTCTTCCTACTACACCTTCGAACGAAATGTTTCGATTAGTGTTCTGCAAGTGTT